GATTAATTAGTTCTTTAGTATTCTTATTAAATAAAGTTAGTCGCTATTTTGCTTCTTTATCTTTAAATTCAATTTAATAGACACACAATTGCATGTGACTAAATACTCTCAGTAATCGGAAAATTTTTTTTTTTTTCAAATGTCCTAAATCTGCTTTAAATAGATATAATGAAAACCAAATTTGTTCTTACCAAAAACTTGAGAGATCAAAACTGCACATATGCTAAACATTGTGAACCAAATTTGTTTTTGTCAGAGCCTTAAGGACTGAAAACAGTACAAGGGTTAAACATTGAAAACTAAAACTAAACTACATTTTTCACAATAAAATTAGTCAAAAATTAGTTGAAGAATAAGGTCAAGTTGTTCTCAACTTTTTGGCTACATAACTTCTTTGGAGTGCTCCTAAAACACAAAGAAACGAATCGTGGGTGCTGGGACTAACAAAATTGAGTCTATGAAAAGAATTGGTCGATGAAGTCAGCCTCTATTAATAGAAGACGCAAGAGAAGTAACGAGGATGGGGGACTGCGATCTGGTCAATAGGTTAGGGCAAGACCCAGAAAAAAAATTCATATGCGACCAAAAATTATATACAACGATATTGTAATATTTTTGTGACGTAATGTATGCGAAATAAAATAAGTGATTAGGAATCATATATATATATATATATATTTATTTATTTATTTATTTATATATATATTTGAAGACAACTTTTCAGTCTGGACCTTCCATTAAGCGTTCAACTCCTTATTTTATTTTTTTAGAATTTTAAATTATTTTATTTATAATAAATTCTTTTTAGTTACGAATGGTTATTGCTGCTTCTAATCATTCACATTACCATTAGCAATAAAACAAAAATGGTGGGGTCTAAGGGGGAAAAAGAGCGAGTCCTAGGATTCTCATCAAGAAACTAATAAACCCTCGAGGGATGGGGTTAACCTAGAACAGATTCTCTCAAAAAGAAAGAAAGAAAATGTCCTAACATTGATCCACCAATCAACCTTGAGGGGAAAAAAAACAAGAAAAAGAAAATGTGACATTGGAAAGTCAATAAGTTTTTTTACCTTAAACATACGAGGACTTGCGGATAAAAAGATAAACATGGCTTTTGAAAATGCGTTTTTTTTTAATTAGCCGTTAACACACTTAAACTTCATCCAATTTATTATGTTTATATACATACTACTAATTATTACCTTTCTTTACATTTATAAGCGTTCTTTAATTGATATTATCTTTTGAAAAATTTTACATCTGAAATACATTTTAACGTGTGCATATTAGATAGAATCTTTAAAAAATATGGCGATAGCCAAGCAAACATTATTGAATGGACCATACGCAAACGCAAACATAAAGTCAAGCTGATGTGAGACCATACCCATCCTTAAGTTGTAATCACTCTAGATTCTAGGCTTTGCACATTTTTCAGCTGAAAGAATTAGTGAAAAAGTAATTGTTTTACGTAAAGCAACTAAAGAACTACAGAATCATCGTTATGATGTTCCATTTTATGAGTTTGACTCACTAACAACACTTGTCCGACTCGAAATAGGTTCCGTTCTACAAAAGACTCTTTCCCTGTCTGCCATTAAAAGTTTGAAATTGGCCATTAAAAGTTTGAAATTGGAGGAATGATTGAAGGAATTAAAATGTAATACACAATCATTGTCCCGTGTGAAACACGACTTCAAAGACTATGGAATTTTAATATCTTCCACTATTGGAATTGCACGACTCTAATATGGCATTAGAATTTAGAAGTGATGAGTTCACGATTTTTTTTAATAAATTATATATATATTGACAGTGTATATATTATTATGATTAGATATATGATATATATGCAAATTTTAGATTTTAAATTCAAATTCAAATTATGTGTCATGCATCTAATGGTGAAAGTGTATGCACGATCAGTGTATAGAAGATTAATCTTTTTTTATAATAAATATGAAAATATACTAAAGCAAATAAAATTGGTTCAATACAATAAATAGTCCCGGGGGAATTTAACACCCCTAAACCATCAATCAAAACAGAACCTAACTGAGGAGGACATGAATCTAAGAGTGAAAAATTAGACAAAAGAAATTCTCTTCTTGGCTAAAGCATCCGCTCCTCTATTTGATTCCCAATACATGATTTTTTTTTTTTTTTTTTACCACTCAATCCAACTTTCCCCCACCACCAGTAGCCGTGTTTGCATGAGCTATATATTTGCTCTCTTAAGGAGGTTTGTCCATCTCAAATTTGGGAATTTTGGAAGGATACTATAAGATTCTGTGTTGTGAACAATCCAATTCTGCATTTTTGTCTTGATTGTGTATAATAGGCATGGCCTCATACTTCTACTGCTTACAAATATGAAATTATGTTCAAAGTCTTAACTCAAAATATTCAGTGACTTGTTTCTTCTTTCTACAACCTAAACCTTACATGGAAAGTGGAGAAAGAAAACTAGAAAAGGGTTTAAAATTAGGGATAATTTCACAAACCTCCCCTGAGGTTTCTGACAATTACAATTAAAGAGGTCCTCTCAGGTTTTAAAAATTACATATGCCTCCCCTACTTTTACTGTTTAGTAACAATGTAGGTCCAAGAACTTAGATTTTCTTTCAAAAATTCTAAATTGTCCTTTTGTACAAAACTAAGAAAGAAAAATATAGTATATTCAATCATTTTCTTTCATATTTTGCATAAATCAACAGGCCAAATCCCTAACAATCATCCAAGCATAAGTAGGGATGGCAGCGGGGCGGGGGCGAGGGAGGGGTCCCGTCCCCCGCCTCCCACTACCCCCGCCCCACCCCGCCCCGCTTCTCCCGCGAGGGCACCCGTGGGGTTAATAAAATTTTTTCTCCGGGGTTAATAAAATTTTATTATAGTTAAATTTTAATAAATAATCAAGTACTAAAATATCAGCACATCATCAAGTTATTATTCATTGTAATTTTACAATTGAAACTCATAAAAACAATCAACAAAAGTTATTTGAATACAATCCAACATGATGAAATAAATACAATTAAAATAGTTAAGTTTTCACTTTTGGTACAAATACAATCACTAATTCATTATTGTGTTTGTGCTTTTTTTTGAGAAAAAATGTTATTCTATTAAGTGTAATTAGAAATTTAGTATAAATGTATTAGTAAATTTAGTATAACTAATTAATAAATTCTATTAGTAGACATATCTAATTATTCGTATAATTGATAATATCAATTATATTACATACATTAATATACATTATATAATTCATCTAACTAATAATATTATTATCATAAGTTTATAACTAATTAAATTACATATTATATATATTTATATATATAATTTTTTTTGCGGGTGGCGGGGCGGGAGATGGGGCAGGGGTATACTCACCCGCCCCCGCCCCATTTCTAAACGGGGGAAAAAATTCCCCCCCGCCCCAACCCCCGTCCCGAGAGCCCCACGCGGGCACCCGCCCCCGTTGCCATCCCTAAGCATAAGTTATAAAATCAAATAGCCATTCAAAAGATTCCAAATTGCATATATAGTATCAATACTTGCCACGAAAACACACACACACCCACAAAATCCTATTGACAATCAATTTTATACCTCCAAATTAAATATCAATGCTCAAATGCCTTTTTAATATTAGCCAATTTGACCTAGAACCACTTTTACAACTCTCCTATGGCCTTAAAAATATTAATATCTAAAAAGTAGAGAATAAATTCTATCTCCACAATAAAATCATAATAAAAAATTTCTAATCCAATGAAAGAAATCATTATGTAATTATTGACTTTTGATAAAAGTTTTTCTTAATAACAAACAAAATATGACAAATTCCACGTCTTTAGTTCTTTTTCTTATTTCAATCATCAATTTCACTATTTATTTCTCTATCATTGCGAGTCTTTTCATTTTTTCTAGTTAGTCTACTCCATTTTTAGATTTTGTAATATCAATTTGCTAATATCCATAAAACTGAAGATAATAAAAAGAGGTTCTAATAACTAGAAAATAGACAAGAGATAGAAAAAATAGGTTTTTTTTTAGATTTTGTAAATTTATTGCCTTAAATTTAAAATTATCTACTAAGCGGAGGGCATTATACGTATTTTACTATGTCAAGGGAGTTAAGTATAATTTCTTAAACCTGAGGGGAACAGAGTGAAATTGTTAGAAACCTCAAGGGAGGTTTCTGAAATTATCCCTTAAAATTAAGCTGAATCAGAGACCTTTTATATGCCTTAATAATTAGACCATATATTACCTTCCAAGGACTAATGGGTTGAAATTAGGATAGTTTTGGGGTTTGAATTATATTTGCATAATGACTTTTATTTTATTTTATTTTATTTTTCTTGTCAATATTTTAGTGCTACCATGATACGCCCTCCCTCCTTGACATTTGTTAAATTACAAAAAGAGAAAAAGTTTTGCACTGATGGGAACCTGGACGTACCCTACATCACAACGTATACCAACCTCATCGTTGATCATTAGGTCTCCCACTAAACCCAAAGTCAAAACTTGTTCAATGGCTGCTCTTTTATCAAAAGAATTAAAGATAAGCAGCAACAAAATGTTCAATTGATGGGTTCCCACCTAACATATAATCCCAAATTGTTTGTCTTATCTCAAGATTTCAACTTTTTAAGAGTTATTATGTATTAGTAGATTTGTTTTGAAATTTACCTTCTAAAGTTCAATTTTAAAATTTAAATTTAATACAAAATATAGATAAAGTGATGATAATATTAAAAATAGAGAACAAAAAGTATTTGACTTTAATATAAAATATAGATAAATTAGAGATAATATTAAAAAAGAGAACAAATGTAATTTTAACTTTGATAAGATAGATAAATATTTTAGGATGTTTTAACTTTTAACTTAAAAAAATGACACTTTAATAAAATCGAGAAAGTGCTATGAATGATCAGAGTCAAAAAGAGACAATGGGATCTGAGACAGGGAGGATGTTTTCATGGAAATAAAAAAGAAACCACTGACGCCAAGTCCCTTGCATGGCGTAATTTGTTTTTCTCCGTCTGTCTTTTCTCTATCGCTTCTGGACTTTTCACTAATATCTACCCATTAATCACCATCATCACTTGCAAACCACCATGAACAACCACCACCACCACCACGATCACCCATCGGTATCCCTTCCACCATCATCACCCACTGTCATTTCTTCCATCACCACCACCAACCATAAAAAACGGAAACAAAAAGAGTGAACAAAACTCCAAAATCATGAGTATACAGTCATGAGTGAACCGAAGTTCCCTCACTAATAAGATCCGTCAGCCTCTCAGGAGCTCCAAGACGACGACGTAGGAGAGTATTAAGAAAGGAGGAAACAGTTGACAGTTAGATTTTGTGTTTCATCGCTTAGCAAAAGCGTAACGAAGTATCCTTTCTTTTCCTGCTGAAAACCAGAGTCCCATCCTACAATCCTTTCACTCAGAGAGACCCTTTAGGCCTTTTTAGTGTACGCAGGAAGCAAACTTACTTTGTTTGTGGGCAATTTCATTCTCCAAGTTCATTTAATCAAAAAGTTGCTGTGTTTTGTCTTCGCCTTTGCTGGTGGAGCCCATTGGATTGTTTCAAAAACATTAAAGGGTTCATTTATTGGAAGAGCGGTGAAAGAAAGATCTCTGTTGGTGAAATTTGTTGAATGGCATTTACTACTTCACTGGCTGCTCTCTGACTGAGATTGCAAAACAACCTTCTGAGAAGTAGTAACCGCCGACTGAAACCTGTACAAATAATACTTCACTGACCTCTGCCACTATCCTAGAAAAAGGTAAACTAGGGGTCAAATCTCTGATTCTCTGTCCTACTTAAAATGGTTACGATGATCAGTTAGCTTCATAGTCGTGTACATTCTTTGGCTATCCTTTTTAGCTGTAGTTACAGGGTTTATTTGGCCTAAAGCATTGATACACCCCTCCAGGAACAGTTCTTTTGGTAGTATTTCTCTTTTTTTTTTGTCAAAAAACGTGGGATAGTCTTTACTTGATTGAGTTTCAGAGTTTCAGGAAGGGAAGAAGCAATGGTGCCACAGAAACAGGCTGAAGAGGCTATTGTCCCTGGGGACATAAGTGTGAATGACGGAACTCAGGGAGGAGAGGAAGAAAGAGTGGATCATGAGCCTAGGCATAGCTTCAAAAGCTTACTTTGGCATGGAGGCTCTGTTTATGATGCATGGTTCAGCTGCGCCTCAAATCAGGTTATAATTCTGAAATTGCCCTGCACAAATTGTTGAAAGAGTAGAATTCTATGTCGATTGTACCCAAAGAAAAATAGAAAACACAAAAGAAATAAAATATGAATCTTGGCTGTTTTGATCACAGGTGGCACAGGTTCTTTTGACTTTGCCATACTCTTTCTCCCAACTGGGGATGCTGTCAGGAGTACTTCTACAGATATTCTATGGTTTATTAGGAAGCTGGACTTCTTATCTCATCAGTGTCCTCTATGTTGAGTACCGGACCAGAAAGGAGAAGGAGAATGTCAGCTTCAAAAACCATATTATTCAGGTTAGCTCTGTGAGAAAATCTGCAAACATTTTGGAGGAACCCGAAAATCCCTCTATTCCTTTTTCCCCACTAACTGAATAAACACTAACACCATTTTAGTCTCCAACCTTAGTTTAAGAATATGCCTTGCCAAAAGAAAAAAAAGTTCATAATTCCTATCTGTCTTTGCAGTGGTTCGAGGTGTTGGATGGTTTGTTGGGTCCACAATGGAAAGCTGTGGGATTAGCGTTTAATTGCACAATGCTCCTATGTGCTGCTGTTATACAGCTGATAGCCTGTGCAAGGTACATAGTCTTTCTTTGATCGTAAGACTTAGCAAAAGGCCAATTTCTCTTTTTTGATTTGCTGGGCTGATAGCATTTTCTTTAGAGCTTGTAAATTTTGATTACAGAGTTTGGTTAAGGTTTTTATCTTAGTTTACCAGAACTTTTAACAAACCAAGTAGTCCGCGAATATGTTCGCGTTCAACTTGTTCGAATTGAAAAAAAAAAATTGATTGAAAAAAAAAATTGATCATTTAATAAACGAATCGAATTCGAACACAATATTAGACTCGTTTAATAATTGAAATGAACACGAATGTATTCATGAACACAAATAATTATAAAAATAAATAAATTCAAACATAAATACATTTAGTATTATAAAATATATATTATATTTTACTAAAAAAATAAGTATACATAATTTAATATTATTTTTTTAAAACCCAAAAATACAACTAAACTTATTCTAAATGATGTATTATTTATTAAAAATATAATTAAATCATCTACAAACTCAAATTCAATCTAGAACTCAAATTCAACTCTTTTAGTTTAATAAGGCAAGTTCAAACTTGAACTTAAATATTTCTACAAATAAATGAATCAAATTCAAACAGTACTTATAATTTGTTTAATATTCAAGCCGAACTCGAACCTGTTGGTATAATATACGAACAGAGTCTGAACACCTACTATTCAACTCGATTCGACTCGTTAAAAACAATATAGCTTACTAATCTTGTTACTCTTGTAAGTGCAGCAATATATATTACATTAATGACAGACTGGACAAGAGAACATGGACATACATATTTGGGGCGTGTTGTGCAACTACCGTGTTCATCCCCTCATTTCACAACTACAGAATTTGGTCATTTTTCGGTCTGGGGATGACCACTTACACTGCATGGTACCTAACCATCGCGGCCTTTATCCATGGCCAGGTATGATGGAAACGATGCTGATCCTGACTATCATTTTTGTACAGAAATTGTTGTTAAGTCAGCAATTACATTTCTCTTTAATTTGTAGGTTGATGGAGTAAAACATTCTGGCCCAACAAAACTAGTATTGTATTTTACTGGTGCCACCAACATACTTTACACTTTTGGTGGTCATGCTGTCACTGTGTGAGTAATTTCCTCAACTGATTAGCAGGGAAATTTCTTATAGATACATATGCAAAAGCCATGGAATTTTGTCTTATGACACAGTTCTTTGTTGCTGGGAAATCTTCATATCATGTAAGAGTTCACTTGCAGATCAGATAAAAGACCCCTAACATTAACTACGCTTTTTAATTGTACATGTTTTAGAAAGAATATTTGAAGAGCAATTTAGAGATATTTTATAAGAAAGCTGATTGGTTATCTAATAAGATTAAGATATTAGAAGGCACTACCGCGAGTACTTCTCAATAAAATGCATGTCCCTTGGTATTAAGATTGAATTGTTACATGTATCACTTGTTTATGAAGATCATGATTCTTATAGGATAAATAGAGACTAAATTTATCCTGGGAACATGCGTCATTCTACAGGATAACTCTCTAAAGCATTTTATTCGCCTGTCGTTTGAAAGAGGGCTCTGATGCTATCAGTTCAAATACAAGGACAGGCTTAAATTCATTAGGTTTGTTATGATATCTGTCAAGCTGATGGTGAATATTGTTGCAAGCATCTAAAGTTCCAGTCAGATGTCCCGCTTTTCTGTTCGTCTTGAAAGGTGACAGTATAAAATGCAAATTGGCCAGGAGTTAATGTATTAATGCAAGTCTTGATGATGTCTTCAGGGAGATCATGCATGCAATGTGGAAGCCGCAGAAATTTAAGTATATATATCTGTTTGCGACCATCTACGTCTTCACACTAACAATCCCATCAGCTGCTGCTGTTTATTGGGCCTTTGGTGACCAGCTCCTTGACCATGGAAATGCCTTCTCAGTGCTTCCTCGCACACGTTTTCGTGATGCAGCTGTTATTCTAATGCTAATCCATCAGGTCTTTAGTCACTATTTCTTCGACTGCTCACATTTGACTAATACAACTGACGACTAACTTGATTAAATGGCTCTGATGCAGTTCATAACATTTGGATTTGCTTGCACCCCTCTGTATTTTGTGTGGGAAAAAGTGGTCGGGATGCATGACACAAAAAGCATATGTTTAAGGGCATTGGTCAGGTTACCGGTGGTGATACCAATTTGGTTCCTGGCCATAATATTTCCCTTCTTTGGGCCGATCAATTCAGCTGTTGGAGCATTTTTAGTCAGCTTCACCGTCTACATAATCCCTGCTCTTGCACATATGCTTACTTACCGAAAGGCCTCAGATCGCCAGGTAACCAATGTTTTTAAACTCAAATCACGGAGTGAATTAAAAGAGCTTTTGGTTTGCGGGTCAACCAGTTCAATCTTTCAACTCTAGTTCAAAATGTTTAATCATTTTTTGTTTCTTTTGGTATTAAAAATTTTGGATAAAGCTGAAATTCTTGTTTTAAAAAATAAGACATTATTAGCGCTGTTGAATCTCCCGACTTTCACCGGTTCAACCAGTTTTTTATTGGGTTTGACCGATTCAATTAAACTTTTGAATCAACTACTAAGTCAGTCAAAAAATATGGCCAATTCGTGGTTTGACAGGTCGAACAGACCAGTTTGATCCAGTTTTCAAAACACTAGTAATTGGTCCGTTTGCTTTTGGCTGTCATTAGTCGAATGCTCTTTTAGTTGCTAGAACTGTCCCTATTAGTTATTATTACTAGCCGCATTTGGTACACTATATGTTTGGCTATCCCTCGTGATGAAATTGATTTGACTGGTTACAATGGAGCGCCGTGACAATTGTAGTTTCTAAAATCAATTATTGGGAAATTATCTTATCCGGCATACAGACATTTCAAACTTTTGTAGGAATCAATGGTAGGGTTAAGCATTTATCTTAAATAGTCAGCTAGCTTCTTCTAGCTTCTTTCTTGACTGCCGCACCAGTAGAGTACATATAGGCTTCCACTCTACACGTGATCTTAGTAAAGGGCACATCCAAAAACGCTATAAATTGAGCCTTTAGATAGCTGAAGAGTATGAGCAACATTGATATATCTAGTGAAAGATACAAGAGAAGGTTTCATCCGAGCCGAATATATAAGAAAGCACAATTATGTCATACTGGCTAAGTGATAAATTTGACCTCGTTACTGGTTTAGATTTCATGGGGTCACAGAATGAAAAAATCCATATCAGCAAATTTACAATATAGGTTTGGTAGAGTTTCATTGCCATTGGGTATTTGCAGCAGTCAATCCTGCTAATGCTAGCCACATCCTACATTGAGTTACACGGCTGGCTGACCTTATCATTGTCCACATTTTGTCATATGCTATCTAATTTTAGTATTGACAAAAAAACTTTACTTGGGTTGGCATCTCGGAGGACCGGGGCAGGAACGGTTGCGGAAGGTTATATGCATTTTGCACACGGGGTAATTTTGTACATGGTGTAACTTACTTTCAATAATGTGTAATTTTAAAACAAAATTTTGTGAGTCCCATACATATTGTTAAAAACGAGGTACAAGATGAGATTTGAACCGTATAATTTTTTTTGGCCAAATTTTGGCGTGAACCCTCTTCCCTCGAAGTAACTAGTACGTAAGAGATTTTGCACATTGTTTATGGATGTGAAATTTACAATTCCCCTGATCTTGGATGTGGCAGAATGCTGCAGAAAAGCCACCATTCTTCCTACCGAGCTGGACCGCCATGCATGTGGTGAACACATTCGCGGTGGGATGGGTTTTCGTGGTTGGATTTGGATTCGGAGGGTGGGCAAGCATGAGCAACATCATCAAACAAGTTGATTCCTTTGGTCTGTTCGCCAAATGCTATCAGTGCAAGCCGCCGCCTCCTACACACCAGCACTAAGCCGTGACACGATTAGTGTCGTACTAACCACCTCATATTGTGCATTTGTCTGCAGTACTGTGCTGTTGTTTCTCCCCAGATTTTATTTTGTCCAAACTTTTACAACGCAGACATAGTGATCAGTCGACTAGCGTTGACAGGGAATCAAAGGTTGACAACACATAGGAACTTCATCAATGATGGTATTACAAAATTGAAAAATAGATGGAAGACAAGCATGGTTCACTTTCCTATACCAAGTGGTGTGTTCGAAATTCACAATTAATTGATAAGCGATTTATAAGAATTTTATAAGCAAGTGGTGTGTTCGAAATTCACAATTAATTGATAAGCGATTTATAAGAATTTTATAAGCGATTTATAATTTCGAAAACATGCATTGACTCGTGGTGATGAATGGAGATGAACTCGTCTAAACTTTTTACGAAAAAAAGGCAAGCAAAAGTATTGGACCCCACTTGTGACACATAAAACAATATTTACAGTCTATGAATCTGTAGTCGAACCAATGGTGGAACGTATTTAAGCTTGTGACTGATATTTTGGCCCAATGATGCTGAAGTTGGAATGTTTAGCCTATTCATAAAAATATAACAATTTGAATATTTATATAAAAACAAAAGGATGGACAAATGATAACACAATAAATTGGTATTTACCTTAGGATAGTTAATTACCAAGTCACCTTAGTAAATGTTGGCATGTGGAAAAAAAATGTTGCGAATGCAAAAGAAAAAAAATCTTTAAATTTATTCTCAGTTTAGGACTTCCAAATGCCGTTTTAGTTACCCAATACGTACACATGTTTATTTGTATGAGGTTCTATTACAAATTATTAATTATTTTAGTTTATGACAATGGGTTTAAAATAAAAAAAAAAGATAAAATTCCAAATATAGTATAAACATAATCCAATTACTAGTAATTCATAGTATTACATTAACATACTTAATCTTGAACCTTGAATCGAGAACCACATCAGGAAGGTGTGAGTTTAAACTAAGTGTTTGGATTGAGAGTATTTAGAATATTATTTTTTTAAAAAAATTATAGCACCTGTTGTTATGTGATGTATGGGAGACAAAATGGTAATTAAGAAAATGGAAAGACGATTGGAAATAGTGTTTATGATTCAATCAAATTTTTTTTAACAAATAGAAACATATCCAAACACACTATCAATAATCTCAAAATCTTCGGTACAAGTGTCAGATTGTGAATTAGTAATTCATGTATAATATAATCAAAAATGTCATGGTCTAATGGTTAAAATTAAAAACTTTATGACTTATAGGTCATGGGTTCTAATCTCTCTTTCCGTTTCTTAAATTCCATCATTCTCCCACTAAAAATAATATTTTAATATGATCAATAATACCGGTGATTAGTAACTATTGTCATCAATAATAATAGGACTTTGAATTGAATTATACATTAGGAATTCCTAATTAACAAATAATATTGCCAATGGTTATTAGTCTTTGCATGAAATGTCACATTGTAATTTGTAACTAATAATTAATGTCATCAACAACAATAATAATAATAATAATTAAGACATAATATTATCAATAATACTAGGAACTTCAATTGTCACATACATTAGAAGTTTCTTGAATAACAAATGTTGCCGACGGTGATTGAGATTGTGAGCTCAAAAGTTTGAAGAGGATGATTCGAGTAGAAGATAGAGAGAGATCCATATTAGGGAGTTTGAAGTGGAGATGGGATGGATAATAATTTGGTAGTGTAGTTTAGAAAACGTGGAGGAAGAGAATCACCAGCAAGTTTAGAGAAGAAAGAAGGAGGAGAGATGTGGGCAATTTGGATAGTTGATCATTTATTTAGGGTAAATTTGTCACATCACCTTATTAATTAACTTTGGAAGTATTGTATATAAAGAACTTTATATAAAGTGGGAATGCCAGTTGAATTGTTGCTGGTCTTTCGTCCTCCTACTCGTCTGCAAATCACGTGGCTGTGCAAATCCTGTTGCTGGTCCTAAGTAGGTTGCGGCCTTTTTGCTCCTCCGTCATCATGCACTGTCATTTTTCACATTCCCTGCACCATCTATCTTCTATTTTTTTCCCCTTGAATTCAGATTGGTCACTGTCCATTATTTGCTTCTTTTTTATATACCCATGCTGTTTTTTTTTTCCGCTCCTTCTTTGTTTTTATATTTTGTTATATTATATATTACATACCTATCTTCTATTTAGTCTATATTTGTTATATTAGTTATAAATTCTTTTGTATCTATTATTTTGCTATTCAGTATTTGCTTCTTTTTTTTATATAGTACCCATGCTTTTTTTTCCCTCTCCTCCTTTAAAATCAATCTTTAGTATATTTTTAATATACTATTTTTTCTTTATCCCGTATTTAATATTATTTATTCTATTGTAGGTACTGCATGACTATCTTTTTCCCCTTTGGCATAATATTTTTCGCTTTATTTTTGTTTTCCAGTTTTTTCTTATATATTTTCTTATATGATATATATCTTATCTATATTGTAATGAAAGTATTATTAATCATAATAATCATAGTACTTATTATTATAAGGCTAATACTAATGATAGATTAGTATAATATATTATCTATATTGTGATGAAAATATTATTAATCATAATAATAATAGTACTTATTATCATAAGCCTAATACTAATGATAGATTAGTATAATGAAAACAAAACATTAATAATCGAGCCAATATAAGTAGACGCCTTGCCTGTTTCTTCTATTGGTCGACGGAGTCACCTCTCAGCATACGCAGCCTACAATCCATTAATTTTTGGCGTCTCCATGCAAGATTTGCACCTCTCTAGACATGCTTTCCCGGGTTCTCATGCATGCAAGAGAATCCAGGTAATCATTTGAGTTTCTTTCCCTTGCATTTCAGCCTGCTTTCCTTCTTCTTTTGCTTCGTTTTATGCATTGCCTCCGCTTCTCGAGCTTTTCCTTTCCTCTGTTTCCTTGTGCGTCTTTCTTCAATCAGTGTTATTGTTGTTTTCCTGCTGTTTGTTATTACATCTACTGTGAGTGCTGCTCCAATTTCGCTATCCCTATTCTTGTAATACTCTTTGTACTTTTCCCCCCATATTCTTCTACTTATCATGCTTACTGCTTTGTTCTACCTGACGATGCTATTATTATTAATCCTGCATTTTTAATTGTTTTACGATTCTATTTGTTCTATCGTTTTCATTTTCATTCCATTGTTGTCTCTTGTTGCTTCAGTTTTCATTTTTACTTTCACTTCTACCCAGTTTTTTTGTTGCCTCTGTTCCTTTTTTGTCACCTTTCATGCTGAAACATTGCCTCAGTTCTATATGTTTCGTATGCTTTCTTTGTCATCTTCGTTTTCATGCTTTTATTGTTTCTACACTTTGCAGTTTTCTGACATTTATTGCTATTTTTCCTGGCCCTCTTGATTTCCTCCAGGTTCTGCTGGCTACAAGTTGCTACTTATTTTCCCTGCTTCAGCAAAAGGTACTTAACACTTTTTTATTGTAATTGAGGCGTTATGTCTACTGATCCAACTCTGTTCTTCTCCTTTTATCAAACAATGATTAGCTACTTTGTTCTCCGTTTTATGTATATGCCACGTTATCTTCTTCTGCTTTCACTTCCTGTCTAATGTCCCTACTTTGCGGTTGGAAATGCTTGTGAGCCGTTTATGTAGTTCTTTCGCAAGTCTCGTGTCATACCATATCATGGATAGAAATGCAAAATGCCGGAAACGTTATGCCGAGATGCCCTGAGAAAGGAGGAAGAATCTTTCTATACGTGTTGTGTAAATATATTAATTGTAATTAATGTTCTTTAATTCTATTAATCACAGCAAATTATTTTGCCTACAAATAGTTATCTGTTCGCTTTATTTGGCTACAAAATTTTTTTTATCTGTTTCACTAAGCGTGGGACAAATAATTAAGTTTATTATATTCTGCCTTAATTATCTCCATTTTTGTTAATGCCAAATTCTCCATATCGTTAATTTATAATTGCAATCCGCTGCTTACCAAATTTCATGGTACATGGTAAAAAAATAATTTCTACTAATTAACCTTTGGATTCTTGATTCGGATAGCGGTGTCATTTGAAGTAATGGTTAGTTTATCCTTTTCTTCATCTTTATAATTATCTCACCTACACCACATAATTTATACACATCATACTGCAAATATCAATAATACTACTTTATTAAATTCATACACTATAATGCTCATTGTGGGCATTACATCAATTCTTCACCGTGCGCAAGCACGGTATATTTCTGCTAGTCCCTAATAAATTGGAGAAAAGTTCCGTAGGATGTCAAAAAAGGGGTCAATCAATCAAAGACGTGGCATCCGGAATCTGGTAAGAGGGTAAGAAAAGTTTCTAATGCCACGTCCCTCCCAACTGCGTCCAGTCACATGACTGACAACTTTTCCTCTCTGACTGGCACTAGTCTAGACAGATGTCCGGACTTGTTTTAAGACAGGATTAAAGATGAGTTCAGATTTCGCTAATATTATATAGAAATGGCAAAAAGTTCAGTGAAGACTAAAAGACACGTATCCTCATCCCAAAAAATGAAAAGGCACAGGGATAAAGTTGCTGGTGGCAGTGGAAGAGAGAGGGGTGTCCGGATTTGTTTCTCCTCTCTGGTTGGCTCTAGTTTTAAGTAATCTGCAATGAAATTGGTAGTTTAGGGGCAAGTCGCTAACTAAGCATAGTTCAAGAGTGCATTTTGCATTTAACCCATAGAAAAATGTCCTATAATTTGCAAAAAGACGAAGAAGGAATGGAATCGCTGAAAAGGGAATGTTGGGCATGTCTACTACGGCACTGCTTGTGAGTTGGTATAATTGTGATCTTGTCTGCTTGGTTTTAGTCTTTTTACGGCGGGTGTTTGTTCCATGGGTTTGCTACAGACATTCGTTTTCTTTGGGTCGTTCTTGCCCATTTCCATCTTTAAGGTGGTTTAATGCTTCCTTGAAATTTGGTAAAGATTAATTAATTGTAAATTTTCATGGAGAAAAATACACCAATTATCCCTCAAATATTATTGATGTAAAATTTTAGTCTATCAAAATCAAAATCAGCGATTTCAGTCCCTAACGAATAAAAAAAGGCTCACTTTTGCAATTTGATCCTTCTCAACTTTTCAATGAAATTTTGGCTAAAATTTTGGTCCCTTGTTTATGCATTATTAGGTTCAAATTTCTCATGGCTCTTCATCTTTAG